GTCTCTGAGCTTTTCGCTGGAGTGTTTTCACCTCTTTCGAAAGCTGAGAAAGGCTGGCTTTCTCTCTGGCGAACTCCTCCTGCAAGCTTTTCCTTGCCTTGTTGTATTGCCCAACAGCAAAGCGGTTATATTGCTTTCGCTTGAGAGGCACATCACTCGTGTTGAAGGTTCGAAAAGTAAGTCTTGATCATTTCAGTACCGGTCTGTTCGTGCTCAAGTCTGACACAAACCACTCATAAAAAAGCAATATTTCTGAAAAAGTAAAACGAAATCCCCAAAACGAAAAACATACGTTTCTCACCGAAGGTTTGTAGTTTCCATTTTTGCAACACTTTTGAACATAACACTTGATGTTATGTTCAGAAGAACGAAAAAGCCTTTTGAAGCTGAAGTTAGCCATTTTTAGAGCAGTTCCTCACGGCTCCATGATAAGGCAAAAAGCGAAGACGAAGGAAAATTCACATAATTAACTTTTTCCGTTTAATTTGGTATCAAACTAAAGCTTGCTCTTCGTATTTTCGCAGGATAATGCTTTCAACTCATCCCGCGCTTTCCTAAACAGCAACGCGGGCATTATGTATACCTTTCCAAACTAGTTTCCAGGGCTATAAGTTATGACAACGGCCATATCGCCATCTTTGGCGACATTGCGTGACCAAAAATTGCCGACAGCTGACCCGGCGTGTGCATGATCGGTTCAAATAGCTCAGACATATCAAGTTGGTCAAGAAAATAGTGAAATACAAAAAGCAAACAACTAAAACTCACCATGCAGTAAACTTGAACTCCATTCAAGGTGATCAAAAGAAGGCTGACCAAAAAAACCAACTGAAAGACAGACTTAACCGTATAGCTAGGTTACGAAAAGAAAGGCGCTAATAAGTAAGTTTCCCTGTAGAATATTCCAAATAACTTCAGGATTAGCTTCAAGTTTGCAAAAATGAGGTACTTGTAGCATGATGAAGCTACTTGTTGTATTTCAAACAGAGAAATAAGCCTAACTGATTGTGTTGATAAACAGCCTTATGATACGGATGAAAGCAGTCCTAGTAATAATAAACCCTAACTATGTAGTAACGGAAATAAGGCCTGCGATACCGGTGCAGTGCTCTACCAACTGAGCTACTAAGCCAACTGGAAGCTGGTCAGTATGTTAGTTCGTATTAAACCTGTCGAAGTGATGAATCAATTAATTTGAATATTTGAAAATCATATATGTGCATGTACTGCAGTTTTAAGAAATGTATGAAAGCAATCCATGCAGTAATGAACCCCACTTATATAGTAGTGAAAATAAATTTTCTTTTTAGGCCTTATTTCCACCGTGTCTGCATAAATAGGATTCATTACTGTGAGAATTGCTTTCATACAATTCCTGAAACCGCAGTACACGTAGGTGACTTACATAATACATAATTATATTCAAATTCAATGACACATCGTGAACATGGGATTTCACAAAGTGAGATGGAATAAAAGCAATTTTCTCAGCAGATATACTGTGTTGTTTTGAACTTCTTTAGGTGAACAGGCGAAAATTCGTCCGAACTCAGCAAGATGGAGGCCAGAGCCGATTATATACTGAGTTTTTCACCTGCGCCGACACGAAAACTGATAATCAGTACTATAGACCACTTTCATAAATGGCTGCCGGATTAATATTCTTTTGTTTAAATATAAATTAGCCCTACTGGCCTCGTTCTCCAGTACAAAATTCAAAAGTTATCTCAAGCGAGGCCAGTAGGGCTAATTTAAATTTAAACAAAAGAATATCTATACGGCAGCCATTTATGAAAGTGGTCTATAGGTACAGTTACAGAATTGTTTGGTTATTGTTGCTAATCATGATAACTGAAGTGGCTTTGAACAGTGACAAATATTGTTGAACGTGCCTGGTTAACTGATTAGTCTTCGCTTTTAGCTTAAGGAAGCTGGCAATTCGGGAAAACAATTGGTAACGCTCTCCGATGTTACGACTGAAGCAGAAGTTTAAGGTTGCTTCCTACCTTCGCGGATGTCCTTCGGGAGAAAAATTCGTACGCGCGCTAGTTTGAAGAAAACTCTAGCAAACTACACATCAAAACAAAGCTTAATAAATGCAGTTTACGATAAAAATATAATTTAGGCAGTTTTTTTTCATTTAGGATGTGTCAGGAGCCGGTAAGGCGGGAAACGACCGAGGGTCCTTCTCTTGAATTAATCGGGTGTCGGACCTGCGGCACGAGAAAAATGGCTGCACAGTCTCATTCAGAAGGCATCAATCAACAAAAGTGTGTCAGGCTTTTCCGATATTCTGATTGCTTGTCTGGATATTCGCATCTAAAGTTCGATTAGCGAAAAATATGCGTAGTGTGTTTCGTAAATGGACATCAAATTTCAAATATCAAAATTTCCTGACACGCTTTTGTTCGTGATCATCTCAGGAATGTGTTGGCGAAATTTGACGAAAATCGGTCAAATCTACATACCCTATAAATTTGCTCACAGTGGATGTATTCCTCTCAAAATCAAATGCGAGATTTTAGCTCCTACAGATTTGTAAACAACTAGCACCACACCAGGAGATTAGAGAGATTTAGCACCACGTTTATGTGAAGCGGCAAACGTCAGCTCGCCCTTTCACGTTTCCCGTAAAACAGCGTGAACCCTCCTGCTTTCGCCTCGCGTGAGCTCACGTTATGGTGGATTTGAAGGCGCCCCTGTATAACTAACAAGAAATAGTTTTGGTGCCCTTTTTGCGGCAGTTAATTTTTACTGTGTGAGAGAAAAAGTGAAGAAAATCTTACGCACACGGGAAATGCGAAACAAATGAATAAAGGCTGATAGTTTCGAAAGAAACTGTTTAGGGCTGCGTCGGTGGGAGTAACCGACGAAGGGCTAACGCTTCGCTCCGACGAAGGGCTAACGCTCGAAACGTCAGCTTTTGTAATCATTACTGTGGCCACTTTACCATAATGATTTCAAATTTGTTGATATATCCAAATTAAATGCGAAGCAGGTCACTTTCACGTAGAAACATCATAGCACAACCGGCAAACGTGAAAAAATGGCGGGAAAAGCAAGGTCACGTGGTCTCTCTTGCCGTTTACGTTTCACGTAAACGCGGTGCTAAATAGTCAGATTAAGCACCGCGAAAACGGCGAACGCTGAACGTCGGCTAGCCGTTTACCGTTTGCCGTTCCGTCCGCGAGGTTCGTCTGTTTAAGCTTCCCGACGACACGGCCGAACAAATGTTCTCAATCGCCATTAACTGCGACTAGAAATAATGGATACAAAGAAGTAATGTATTTTCCGCTTGAATTTGAACTCTATTAGTTATAGCTTTACAAGCAGTTCATATAGAAGTAAGATGATAAACGAAGCTTACCTATAAAATCAAGCAATCAAAATGTAGAAATACTCAATGTGCATGTGCTCTTTAGTTTCCTGACTTAAAAATTTTTTTTCTAAATAAAACTGGATGGTGCCTTTACAATGATATCAAAAGTAATACACTGTACAAATTCGTATACAATCTAGACTCAAATGATTTACCCATCAGTATTACAAATCTTCTTCCTTGTCAGAATATAAACAAATTGTTTATATTCTGATCCTTTCCAGATGAGCTTTAAAATGTTCTCCAAAGTTAACGTGTTCATTTCTTCCAAGAAATCAGCCCAAATAGGTGGAGGACCCCAATTTGGGGATAGAGCTCATTCTTTGAGATCCCTTGTTTCCAATATTTCTCGTACATTGTCTATTGAAAACAGGGCGGTGCTTTCTGCATGAAATATTTCTAGGGACGTGAGATTTTTTACAACAACATCTATCAAGGAAGCTATATGCTCGTCACCAAACTGACAATGAGAAATATTTAACACTTTAAGGAAACTACCATTGTATTTTAGACATATCAGTGTGTTGTTCGGCTCGATACTTGTGCAGCCAGTCAAAATCAAACTCGTTAAACAAATTTATCTCGCCAATGAACTCTATAGTGGTGATTGAGGTATTGTATGATAAATCCAGATGCCTTAGATTTTCACATAACGCAAGAGCATTTTCAGTGTGCATAGCAGGACTATTGTAACGGACACGTTTTTGAGAGAGCTGCAATGCGAGATCACGAAAGTGTTTGGCGTAATTCACAATGACTAACTCAAAACCATCAACGTCAAATTCGGCATTTGTTTTCAGCGATCGCCATGATGACCCAGAATCATTCACTATTTTATAAAAACGTCTACAAACACGTGCTACAATGTTCAGGCAATCTTGCACTTTGAAGAATTGAAAAATATGCTTCAATATATCAGAAGGAAGGTCGCACAAGCAATGACCTGTCAAAGTTAACAAAATGAGGGGATATTACATAGAACAATCTCATTAAAATTATGTTCACATGTACTAGTCTAGTTTATCGAAAGTCTTCTGTTTTTCATCAAACAATGGTTCAATAAAACTATCGGAATCAAACAATCGAAAAACAAGATTCGCAATGAAATGAATGCGGCTCACCTGAATTCACTTGTCGCTGGTCAACAGCACTGTCTTGGCGTTCTCTGTTTGATACAGAAAAAAATAAATATTGTTACAATAAGGTATAAGTATTTTATAAATGATTTTTTTAGATTGAGTTTCAATTAAGATAGCACAAGTTTTTTATAAACTTAAAACAATCACCCAAACTCACTCACCGTGTTTCAACGTCATCAGCACTCGGTTAGATCCATCATTCTTAAAAACTTTAAATTACTTCAAAACGATCCAGAGACAAGCACTATCTTTTCGCAGCCTCCGCTCATTTCATTCAAACGCGACAAAAACATAGGCAATTCTCCCATCCGTCCCGTTCTCAACGGGTGGTATCCGTTTCGTGTTGAGTACCTTTGCAGAACATCCGAGGGCCTCGTTACCATTTTTCAAAAATAGATGTTGTTTTGCCGGCTGGGAAGTATTTTTAAGCGAAGACTTCGGTTACNCATTTTAATTTACCTAATCATTCTAAGCAACATATGGCAATCTGCGGTCTTTCCTTACACTTAAGTAGCACGGAAAGCCGTAAAAATCTTGAACAAAAGCTCATCTTTCAAACGGCAGTCTAAATCCCACAGGGATCAACGAACGCTTTTCATTCCACTAATTTATTGTTGTTATTCTCGTTGCCATGTTCCCACCAATAACTTGGCTCCATTTTCTGCCTTTAAAAGCACACACAACCCACAATTCCTCTATTCGCTCCGACGAAGGGCCTATGCTCGAAACGTTAGCTTTTGTAATCGTTACGGTGGCCAATTTACCATTTCAACTTTGTTGATATATGCAAACTAACAGTGATGACTCTTTTTCGTAAGGGAGCATGTTTATCCAAAATCAGAGAAAGAACAGAATCATATTGATCACAGAGCTCTGACAGGTTCAATGAAGGTGAGTTGTATAGTGAGGAGGAGCGAATATCGGCACCACAACTGTCTAAGTCAATGTTGCATAGTTTACGAGACATGACAGCGAGTTTCGCGTGAGGTGGTTTCTTGATAGCCAGGCTGCAGGCTGATAGCCAGGCTGTAGACCAGTTAGCCAGGCTGTTGACCAGGCTGTTGACCAGTTAGCTTGTTTGTCTTTGGGGGACGTAATTTCGGAAGTTCAGAGTAGTTTGCAGATACAAAGGTGTGTGGGTAGTATGAACTAGAGCTAGTAAAGTATGAATATGGTGTAGAGCACGGTCTTTTTAAGCGTTCTTTGATTTCTCTAGTGAACCTGTAGTCAAACTCAAGCTGCAACGGCATGTCACTGGCACCCGTTCTCATCTCAGAAAACGTATTTTCTACAACCAGGGTCAAATTGCTCTTTATGTTAAATCTAGCACTCAAACCAGGACTAAACCGGTCCAAAAGGGCCTTAATTTGACGCAGTGACTTGACTAATCGTCTCTCGTCTCCAATGACAACTGAAGAAACGGTTCCTTGAGGGCCCTGTGTTTCACCATGCGTGCCTGTTACAATCTTGACATCGTCGACGCACTCTTGGTCAAATCGATAAACCAATTCTAGTCTCTCTACTGCTGGCGTTATCTCGATAGCGAGAGGAGCTTGCTTTTTAAGGTGGGGTCCAAATGTTTCTCCGAACAAATGTAGGTACTTCAAATATTCCACCAAACTGTTGACACTGCTCGTCATTCGTAGTGCACCTGTCGATGTGTCCACAGTAAACAACGTTTTCATGTCAAAACATATTCCTGTCGGTTGAGAGAGCTGTGCCTTGCTTCCTTTCCTAATCCCCTGTCCGTCACCAACTAGCACGAAATATTCCTTTGTGACAGGATTAATGACCTTGACCTTGCAATCTCCAGTGTCACTGGATGCTATGGCATGATCACTGTAGTTAGTTAAACTATGTACCCTGTTACAGAGCGAGCCACCATTACTAGCAATCTTCTCAATCTTGTTTTCTTTGAACTCGGCTACCCTATAGACTCCTCCTCTTACATCGTGTGCTGATACATAAATCACGTTATTGACAGAAACTATTCCATACAAGAGTTCACAACTGAGCTGAAGGGAGGTAATGACTGTACCGTTTAGGCTGACAAGGTTTGAATGAAGCTCTGTGACATATACAGTGCCCTTGAACGTTGAAACGTACGTACGTCCTTCAGTATCAAAACAAATCGCCACAGGTTGATTAATTTCTTTATCGAGTCTCACGTGCTGATTACCAACTGAATTTCTTTTATGTTGCAATTCGTTTGGGTCAAAGGTTTCAATGCTCTTTAGAGCTTCTTTGAGTTTTTCTTGTAGGTATTTCTTTGGTTTCTTATTCCAATCTTCCATCCATTTATCAACAAATCTCAGCTTTTCTTTGAGCTTCTCGATTGTTAATTTGGTCACATCAACAATAGTTTCACCCTTCAGGTCTTTGAATTAATGCGATTGCATCTTTACCTTCTTTCTTTGACTCGGCACAATACAGAGTATCCTTGAAAACCGCTCTTTCAATTGGGTGCTCCAAGCAATCCATTTCAATCGTTACATTCGCTGGGTAGTGATTTGCTTGCACTTTGTACACTTTACCATTCATAACGTCGCTGACAAAAACATGCCCTGATGGGCCCAGACATAAGTGACCAGGCATTCAGTGACCAGGCATTGAGCTAGGTTGTTTTGACTTTATTGACTATGTTGGCCTTTACAGTTGCTTACTAAGAGGCTATGTTATAGTTAGTTATGGACAGGTTTTCAAGTACATCTCGCAGTCACAACAGTGTGGAACAGACATTGATTTCTAGTAATATTCATGTTCAGGGATTGTCGTCACGCAAATTGTTCACCTACGTTGTTTGTTTGTTCAGGTTTTTTATTATTATTCCTATTCTCATTATTTGATTCTATTTATTATTATCATTACTATTTTATTAATTTTTTTTTTGTTGGAAGGGAAGATGTCATGTTTAAGCTAGCATAATTAGCATACACTACGTTGCACTTGGACTGTGGTGTTGTTGCCTAATAAAAGAATTGAGCATGGCGCTGTGTGCGTACTGGGTCAAACATTACAGTTTCTGTGTCGGCAGGAAGAGACGAGTTCGTTCCGCTTGTTGAGTGTAGATAGGTCGGGTCGGCAGATGACTAAGCACTAACATCGGTCATAAATTCCACGCGCTGATAGACAAAAACTTCCCTAAAGACCATAAGCTTCACAAAATCTTCAACAGAAACACAATCAAGATCAGTTACAGCTGCATGAAAAATACAAAACAAATCATTAACAACCACAACAAAAGAATCCTGACTTCCCACGTAAAGACTAATGCTGCCGCCACAACCGCCGACGCTACCGCTAACAATAACAAGAAATGCAACTGCCGACAGGAGAACTCATGCCCACTAGACGGAAACTGCCACCAATAATCTGTTATATACCGAGCTACTGTTACACGTAAAGACAACATCTCAACGGATTCATACATCGGACTCACTGCAAACTACTTCAAGACCCGCTGCAACAACCACACCTCAACGTTCCGACACTCAAAGCACCGCAACTCTAACGAACTCAGTAAACACTGAGCTGGACACTTAAAGACAACAATATAGGCTATTCCATCACCTGGCGTATTCTATCGTCACACCTGCCCTACAACAGCTCAAGCAAACGATGCAACCTATGCCTTAAAGAGAAATTCCTGATCATCTGCCGACCCAACCTATCTACACTCAACAAGCGTAACGAGCTCGTCTCTTCCTGCCGACAGAGAAACAAAGTTCTCTTACGCAACAGCTGACTTGACACTTTTCGCACCTAATCAATTACGTCAATCAGTATAGTATATAAGCAATGGTACTGCGTTATTCTATCATTACTGAATCCCCCGATGAGTAGGCAACCACGAAACAGGTCTGTAGGAATGAAATGTAATTGATTTTTTTCTGCCTATCACACGTTATACTCACTGTACTATATGTATCGAGCACTGTTTTACGGATATCAAGCTTTACCCTTCTACATTTAAATATATATTTTTCATCCTCAGACAATTTTTAATGAACACATGCATAAATGGAAATCTCGAATGGAGATTACAGGGATATCTTTTCTCATGTGCACAATTACTCGGTAGTTCGGAATAACTTTGGCCAAAATCGAAAAAATTTTCAGGAAAAATTAGGGGGAGAAATTTTTTGCAGTGTTCATTTGCAATTTAAAATGTTTCATCATTGAGTTCGTCGCTCCAATCACCACACTGCCTTTCAGACTTCGATGCAGCCCAGGCTACTCAGCCGAGTGACATTTTTCTGCAGGTGGTAGGGATGGTGTGGAATCATTTAGGCGTTGTGTGATAAACCGTCGATGGCAACCGTTTTATTATAACCTACGATGCCAATATAATACAAATCATGGTAATTACATTGCTGACTGCACACATCATGGTACATTACATGCTGGCTGTAAACCCCGCAGCCCAGGTTACTATGAGTGTGACAAGTCGGTTCATTTTGTAGACATTTGCTGTCTATGGTTTGTTAATGTTAGGAAGATTGTCTGAATAAGCAAATTTCAGATTGCAGAAGCAAGTTTTACAAAAATTCTGCTATTCATGGGCACGCCGCATTGATAACCCCTCTAACAGAAAATATTATGCATCACTAAAATCTGTTAACTGTATAAGCCCCTATGAGTTCTTCCAAGTGATGTTTTCGAAATAATGTAAGGGACGTATAGTTTACCCGCGTATTACAAGAGATGTGCCACTTCTTTTAATTAAATAAAATATTGGGGAATAGGAAACGTAAGACATGCCGGAGCCTATACTGGAGTAGACAATATTTCTGAAAGCTAAGCAGAATCAGCCACTGTTTTAAAGGGTTGATTAGTTTCACTAAGAACATGAGTCAGTCGATGTCTGGGAATTTTTACTCGTCCAAGCATTCTGGACTTTTTCTTAAAGAAATGTTTATGGCGGGTACGTCTGGAAACATTTGCTAATTAATGAGATTGTAAATGGCCTAGTTCATGAGCCAGTCGTGGATGTCCTGCCGATTGAAAGTCGGGTATGATGGACTTATGCTTCTCAAATTTTCGTCTGTTTCCTTTAAAATAATTTGGAAGTGGGGCTTCGCTAGTCCTGAAGCAAAATGAAACCTTTCAAGTTCTTGTTCATTCTAGGATCACAAACCCACAAACTCGTTACAACAAGGAAAGTCTGCATCATGATTTAAAA